ACTGAGGGACAGAGAATTGTTACTCAGGGACAGACACAGAATTGTTACTCAGGGACACAGAATTGTTACTGAGGGACAGAGAATTGTTACTCAGGGACAGACACAGAATTGTTACTCAGGGACACAGAATTGTTACTGAGGGACACAGAATTGTTTTCTCAGGGACAGACACAGAATTGTTACTGAGGGACACAGAATTGTTACTGAGGGACACAGAATTGTTACTCAGGGACAGACACAGAATTGTTACTGAGGGACACAGAATTGTTACTCAGGGACACAGAATTGTTACTCAGGGACACAGAATTGTTACTCAGGGACAGACACAGAATTGTTACTGAGGGACACAGAATTGTTACTGAGGGACACAGAATTGTTACTCAGGGACACAGAATTGTTACTCAGGGACAGACACAGAATTGTTACTGAGGGACACAGAATTGTTACTGAGGGACACAGAACTGTTACTCAGGGACACAGAATCGTTACTCAGGGACACAGAATCGTTGAATTAAAGAGTATGTCAGACAACACGCAGAGGAGTGTCAGAGGAGGCCATGTTTTAGGAGCGAGCAGACGTGGCAGCAGAGGAAGGGGTCGAGGCAGCACTAGTCGCAGCCAGAGGCCAGTGCTCCCGGTGTCATCCAGCAATCGTGTCTCCACCGACAACCCTGCCGTCATCGATTGGTTGGCTCGGTCGTCTTCCTCTTCCCAGGTCACCTCTGACACCTACAGCCAACGGTCGGTGGGTACGTCAGACACAAACCGTTAGTTGGCATGGCCCGGGAGCAAGCCCACTGAAAATCACGTGTCCTCGACCTGCCCCTGTCCTTTGGTGTTCCCTCACCAAGCGAAGTATCACATGCTGTGGGCTCAGCCCACTGTACAGTGAGGAAGAGCTAACAGAGGGCGGTCAGGAATGGGGGGAGACATCCGCCTCTTCAGCAGCCAGGCGAAGAAGTACTGGCGAGGAGAGTGGCTCGGTAGCCGGTCTAGAGACAGGTCTGTCTCCTGACCCACACGCAGCCGAGGGGGCTAGTAGTGAGGCGGAGACCCTAATTGATGATGATGAGGCTGATCGCACTTGGCAGCCTCGTCGTCATCAGGCTATTGCTTCCGCATCATCAGGAGAAGAGGGTGCCAGCTTGGCAGCGAGCAAAACAGTCGGTGGGTTGCCCAGGAGGCAGCAGGGTCGCAGCAGTGTCAGTGGAGGCAAACGGCCACGGAGTAGAGCACCAGCTCCACTGCAGCCTACCACCACGGCCAGTAGTGGTGCCGGTTGTGTGCACGGAGGAAGTAGCAGTCAGCCAGTGAGGAGTAGCGAGGGCAAAGTTTCCTACTCGCGGTGTGGGCAATTTTTCGTCAAGCCGCCCGAGGAAGTAAACGTAGCCGTTTATGTTGACTATGTGGCCAGGGGGCCCATGTCTCCATCGCCACACTCTGCCATGTGCCACTTTCAGGTCTCCTCACACTGCTGGTGGGTTCCATTTGTCATAGGGTGCTGGCAGATTACGGGCCTCCCATTGCTGCTGCCAGGCCCGTAATCTGCCATGGGCCCCTGTACCGCCTCCTCATGCTGCTGCCAGGCCCATAATCTGTCATGGGTCCCTGTACCGCCTCCTCATGCTGCTGCCAGGTCCAGAGTCTCTCATGGGTCCCTGTACGGCCTCCCATTGCTGCTGTCTCCATCGCCACACTCTGCCATGTGCCACTTTCAGGTCTCCTCACACTGCTGGTGGGTTCCATTTTGTCATAGGGTGCTGGCAGATTACGGGCCTCCCATTGCTGCTGCCAGGCCCGTAATCTGCCATGGGCCCCTGTACCGCCTCCTCATGCTGCTGACAGGCCCCGTAATCTGTCATGGGTCCCTGTACCGCCTCCTCATGCTGCTGCCAGGTCCAGAGTCTCTCATGGGTCCTGTACGGCCTCCCATTGCTGCTGTCTCCATCGCCACACTCTGCCATGTGCCACTTTCAGGTCTCCTCACACTGCTGGTGTGTTCCATTTTGTCATAGGGTGCTGGCAGATTACGGGCCTCCCATTGCCGCTGCCAGACCCGTAATTCTGTCATGGGCCCCTGTACCGCCTCCTCATGCTGCTGCCAGATCCAGAGTCTCTCATGGGTCCCTGTACGGCCTCCCATTGCTGCTGTCTCCATCGCCACACTCTGCCATGTGCCACTTTCAGGTCTCCTCACACTGCTGGTGTGTTCCATTTTGTCATAGGGTGCTGGCAGATTACGGGCCTCCCATTGCTGCTGCCAGACCCGTAATCTGTCATGGGCCCCTGTACTGCCTCCTCATGCTGCTGCCGGGTCCAGAGTCTCTCATGGGTCCCTGTACGGCCTCCCATTGCTGCTGTCTCCATCGCCACACTCTGCCATGTGCCACTTTCAGGTCTCCTCACACTGCTGGTGTGTTCCATTTTGTCATAGGGTGCTGGCAGATTACGGGCCTCCCATTGCTGCTGCCAGACCCGTAATCTGTCCATGGGCCCCTGTACCGCCTCCTCATGCTGCTGCCAGGTCCAGAGTCTCTCATGGGTCCCTGTACGGCCTCCCATTGCTGCTGTCTCCATCGCCACACTCTGCCATGTGCCACTTTCAGGTCTACTCACACTGCTGGTGGGTTCCATTTTGTCATAGGGTGCTGGCAGATTACGGGCCTCCCATTGCTGCTGCCAGGCCCGTAATCTGCCATGGGCCCCCGTACCGCCTCCTCATGCTGCTGCCAGGTCCAGAGTCTCTCATGGGTCCCTGTACGGCCTCCCATTGCTGCTGTCTCCATCGCCACACTCTGCCATGTGCCACTTTCAGGTCTCCTCACACTGCTGGTGGGTTCCATTTTGTCATAGGGTGCTGGCAGATTACGGGCCTCCCATTGCTGCTGCCAGGCCCGTAATCTGTCATGGGCCCCTGTACCGCCTCCTCATGCTGCTGCCAGGCCCGTAATCTGTCATGGGTCCCTGTACGGCCTCCCCATTGCTGCTGTCTCCATCGCCACACTCTGCCATGTGCCACTTTCAGGTCTCCTCACAATGCTGGTGTGTTCCATTTTGTCATAGGGTACTGGTAGATTACAGGCCTCCCATTGCTGCTGCCAGGCCCATAATCTGTCATGGGCCCCTGTACCGCCTCCTCATGCTGCTTCCAGGTCCAGAGTCTCTCATGGGTCCCTGTACGGCCTCCCATTGCTGCTGTCTCCATCGCCACACTCTGCCATGTGCCACTTTCAGGTCTCCTCACACTGCTGGTGGTGTTCCATTTTGTCATAGGGTGCTGGCAGATTACGGGCCTCCCATTGCTGCTGCCAGGCCCGTAATCTGCCATGGGCCCCTGTACCGCCTCCTCATGCTGCTGCCAGGTCCAGAGTGTCTCATGGGTCCCTGTACGGCCTCCCATTGCTGCTGTCTCCATCGCCACACTCTGCCATGTGCCACTTTCAGGTCTCCTCACACTGCTGGTGGGTTCCATTTTGTCATAGGTGCTGGCAGATTACGGGCCTCCCATTGCTGCTGCCAGGCCCGTAATCTGCCATGGGCCCCTGTACCGCCTCCTCATCGTGCTGCCAGGTCCAGAGTGTCTCATGGGTCCCTGTACGGCCTCCCATTGCTGCTGTCTCCATCGCTACACTCTGCCATGTGCCACTTTCAGGTCTCCTCACACTGCTGGTGTGTTCCATTTTGTCATAGGGTGCTGGCAGATTACGGGCCTCCCATTGCTGCTGCTAGGCCTGTAATCTGCCATGGGCCCCTGTACCGCCTCCTCATGCTGCTGCCCAGGTCCAGAGTGTCTCATGGGTCCCTGTACGGCCTCCCATTGCTGCTGTCTCCATCGCCACATTCTGCCATGTGCCACTTTCAGGTCTCCTCACACTGCTGGTGGGTTCCATTTTGTCATAGGGTGCTGGCAGATTACGGGCCTCCCATTGCTGCTGCCAGGCCCGTAATCTGCCATGGGCCCCCGTACCGCCTCCTCATGCTGCTGCCAGGTCCAGAGTCTCTCATGGGTCCCTGTACGGCCTCCCATTGCTGCTGTCTCCATCGCCACACTCTGCCATGTGCCACTTTCAGGTCTCCTCACACTGCTGGTGGGTTCCATTTTGTCGTAGGGTGCTGGCAGATTACGGGCCTCCCATTGCTGCTGCCAGTCCCGTAATCTGTCATGGGCCCCTGTACCGCCTCCTCATGCTGCTGCCAGGCCCGTAATCTGTCATGGGTCCCTGTACGGCCTCCCATTGCTGCTGTCTCCATCGCCACACTCTGCCATGTGCCACTTTCAGGTCTCCTCACACTGCTGCTGTGTTCCATTTTGTCATAGGGTACTGGTAGATTACGGGCCTCCCATTGCTGCTGCCAGGCCCATAATCTGTCATGGGCCCCTGTACCGCCTCCTCATGCTGCTGCCAGGTCCAGAGTCTCTCATGGGTCCCTGTACGGCCTCCCATTGCTGCTGTCTCCATCGCCACACTCTGCCATGTGCCACTTTCAGGTCTCCTCACACTGCTGGTGGGTTCCATTTTGTCATATAGGGTGCTGGCAGATTACGGGCCTCCCATTGCTGCTGCCAGGCCCGTAATCTGCCATGGGCCCCTGTACCGCCTCCTCATGCTGCTGCCAGGTCTAGAGTGTCTCATGGGTCCCTGTACGGCCTCCCATTGCTGCTGTCTCCATCGCCACACTCTGCCATGTGCCACTTTCAGGTCTCCTCACACTGCTGGTGTGTTCCATTTTGTCATAGGGTGCTGGCAGATTACGGGCCTCCCATTGCTGCTGCCAGGCCCGTAATCTGCCATGGGCCCCTGTACCGCCTCCTCATGCTGCTGCCAGGTCCAGAGTGTCTCATGGGTCCCTGTACGGCCTCCCATTGCTGCTGTCTCCATCGCCACACTCTGCCATGTGCCACTTTCAGGTCTCCTCACACTGCTGGTGTGTTCCATTTTGTCATAGGGTGCTGGCAGATTACGGGCCTCCCATTGCTGCTGCCAGGCCCGTAATCTGCCATGGGCCCCTGTACCGCCTCCTCATGCTGCTGCCAGGTCCAGAGTGTCTCATGGGTCCCTGTACGGCCTCCCATTGCTGCTGTCTCCATCGCCACACTCTGCCATGTGCCACTTTCAGGTCTCCTCACACTGCTGGTGGGTTCCATTTTGTCATAGGGTGCTGGCAGATTACGGGCCTCCCATTGCTGCTGTCAGACCCGTAATCTGTCATGGGCCCCTGTACCGCCTCCTCATGCTGCTGCCAGGTCCAGAGTGTCTCATGGGTCCCTGTACGGCCTCCCATTGCTGCTGTCTCCATCGCCACACTCTGATATGTGCCACTTTCAGGTCTCCTCACACTGCTGGTGGGGTTCCATTTTGTCATAGGGTGCTGGCAGATTACGGGCCTCCCATTGCTGCTGCCAGGCCCCTAATCTGCCATGGGCCCCCGTACCGCCTCCTCATGCTGCTGCCAGGCCCGTAATCTGTCATGGGCCCCTGTTTCCGCCTCCTCATGCTGCTGCCAGGTCCAGAGTGTGTCATGGGTCCCTGTACGGCCTCCCATTGCTGCTGTCTCCATCGCCACACTCTGCCATGTGCCACTTTCAGGTCTCCTCACACTGCTGGTGTGTGTTCCATTTTGTCATAGGGTGCTGGCAGATTACGGGCCTCCCATTGCTGCTGCCAGGCCCGTAATCTGCCATGGGCCCCTGTACCACCTCCTCATGCTACTGCCAGGTCCAGAGTGTCTCATGGGTCCCTGTACGGCCTCCCATTGCTGCTGTCTCCATCGCCACATTCTGCCATGTGCCACTTTCAGGGTCTCCTCACACTGCTGGTGGGTTCCATTTTGTCATAGGGTGCTGGCAGATTACGGGCCTCCCATTGCTGCTGCCAGGCCCGTAATCTGCCATGGGCCCCCGTACCGCCTCCTCATGCTGCTGCCAGGTCCAGAGTGTCTCATGGGTCCCTGTACGGCCTCCCATTGCTGCTGTCTCCATCGCCACACTCTGCCATGTGCCACTTTCAGGTCTCCTCACACTGCTGGTGGGTTCCATTTTGTCATAGGGTGCTGGCAGATTACGGGCCTCCCATTGCTGCTGCCAGTCCCGTAATCTGTCATGGGCCCCTGTACCGCCTCCTCATGCTGCTGCCAGGCCCCGTAATCTGTCATGGGTCCCTGTACGGCCTCCCATTGCTGCTGTCTCCATCGCCACACTCTGCCATGTGCCACTTTCAGGTCTCCTCACACTGCTGCTGTGTTCCATTTTGTCATAGGGTACTGGTAGATTACGGGCCTCCCATTGCTGCTGCCAGGCCCCATAATCTGTCATGGGCCCCTGTACCGCCTCCTCATGCTGCTGCCAGGTCCAGAGTCTCTCATGGGTCCCTGTACGGCCTCCCATTGCTGCTGTCTCCATCGCCACACTCTGCCATGTGCCACTTTCAGGTCTCCTCACACTGCTGGTGGGTTCCATTTTGTCATAGGGTGCTGGCAGATTACGGGCCTCCCATTGCTGCTGCCAGGCCCGTAATCTGCCATGGGCCCCTGTACCGCCTCCTCATGCTGCTGCCAGGTCCAGAGTGTCTCATGGGTCCCTGTACGGCCTCCCATTGCTGCTGTCTCCATCGCCACACTCTGCCATGTGCCACTTTCAGGTCTCCTCACACTGCTGGTGTTTTCCATTTTGTCATAGGGTGCTGGCAGATTACGGGCCTCTCATTGCTGCTGCCAGGCCCGTAATCTGCCATGGGCCCCTGTACCGCCTCCTCATGCTGCTGCCAGGTCCAGAGTGTCTCATGGGTCCCTGTACGGCCTCCCATTGCTGCTGTCTCCATCGCCACACTCTGCCATGTGCCACTTTCAGGTCTCCTCACACTGCTGGTGTGTTCCATTTTGTCATAGGGTGCTGGCAGATTACGGGCCTCCCATTGCTGCTGCCAGGCCCGTAATCTGCCATGGGCCCCTGTACCGCCTCCTCATGCTGCTGCCAGGTCCAGAGTGTCTCATGGGTCCCTGTACGGCCTCCCATTGCTGCTGTCTCCATCGCCACACTCTGCCATGTGCCACTTTCAGGTCTCCTCACACTGCTGGTGGGTTCCATTTTGTCATAGGGTGCTGGCAGATTACGGGCCTCCCATTGCTGCTGTCAGACCCGTAATCTGTCATGGGCCCCTGTACCGCCTCCTCATGCTGCTGCCAGGTCCAGAGTGTCTCATGGGTCCCTGTACGGCCTCCCATTGCTGCTGTCTCCATCGCCACACTCTGATATGTGCCACTTTCAGGTCTCCTCACACTGCTGGTGGGTTCCATTTTGTCATAGGGTGCTGGCAGATTACGGGCCTCCCATTGCTGCTGCCAGGCCCATAATCTGCCATGGGCCCCCGTACCGCCTCCTCATGCTGCTGCCAGGCCCGTAATCTGTCATGGGCCCCTGTTCCGCCTCCTCATGCTGCTGCCAGGTCCAGAGTGTGTCATGGGTCCCTGTACGGCCTCCCATTGCTGCTGTCTCCATCGCCACACTCTGCCATGTGCCACTTTCAGGTCTCCTCACACTGCTGGTGTGTTCCATTTTGTCATAGGGTGCTGGCAGATTACGGGCCTCCCATTGCTGCTGCCAGGCCCGTAATCTGCCATGGGCCCCCGTACCGACTCCTCATGCTGTGACGTTGCAACAAGGTGGAATTCAACCCTACATATGTTAACCGCCTTTTACGAACAGCGAAAGGCCATCACCGATTTCCTGATGTTACAAGCGGATAAAGGTACTCCCCTGTGTAACTTAGATGTCAGCCATTGGCAGCTCATGCGTGACACCTGCCGCTTGCTCAGGCCCTTTGAGGAGGCCACGCTATTCGTGAGTCGGCAGGACTATGGGATGAACGACGTCATTCCTCTTTTGCACGTCCTGGAACAAATGCTGTTAACAATGGCTGGTCAGGGTGCGGTAGACGTGGCGCACAGATCTCAACGCCACATGACCCCTGTGGGGGCAGGACAGGAAGAAGAGGAGGAGGTAGAGGAGGACATTGGTGCTCAGGAATTATTGAGTGAAATGGGTGGTTTTTCCACTCAGCGGACAGGAGTGGAGGAGCAGGAGCATCTGGTAGAGGAGGAGGAGGAGGAGACAGAGGACCCAGACGCACCGTGGCAGTATGCTGTGGAGATGGAGGCAGGGAGTCCCTCGCATTCCTTGGCACAAATGGCCCATAGCATGCTCGCTTGCTTGCGTAGCGACAGCCGAATAATAACCATCAGACAGAGGGATGACTTTTGGCTGTCCACCTTGTTGGACCCTTGCTGCCGTTCAAAAATGGTGGCCTTTTTCACACCTGCTGAGAGGAAGGCCAAAATAACGTACTATAAAAACCACCTATGTAGTCAGTTGGTCTCTGCCTTTCTGCGCCAACGTCCATCCTCAGACACTGTGGGCCCTGTGCGCTCGCGTTCCGCTGCCATGGCAGCAGGGGAGGGGTGGGGTGGTAGGAGCAGTGGCAGCTCCACCAGCAGCGGCTGCCTCAGTCTGCAGTCGATGATGAGTAGCTTTCTTCACCAGCGCAGTGAGGAAACTACTAACCAGCCGCAGCAGCAGCAGCAGCAGCATCAGGTGGACCTAGAGCAGGACCTCAAACAACAGGCTTGGGCCTACTTGGACAGCACCCTGCCAACCGAGGTAGACAATCCCCTTGACTACTGGGCAACGAAACTTGACCTTTGGCCCCAACTAGCTGAATTTGCCCTTGAAAGGCTGTCATGCCCGGCCAGTAGCGTGGCATCGGAGCGCGTGTTTAGTGCGCCAGGAGGTATTGTAACTCCGCGGAGGACACGACTGTCCACCCAAAGTGTGGAGAGACTCACGTTTGTGAAAATGAATCAGGCGTGCATTAGTCTGGATTTCAAACCACCAGTTCCTGACACAACTGACTAAATCCGCCATGAATCATGCCCCAAACATGTTAACTCTGAAATGTGCCACTTTCAAGTCTCCTCACACTGCTGGTGGGTTCCATTTTGTCATAGGGTGCTGGCAGATTACGGGCCTCCCATTGCTGCTGCCAAGCCCGTAATCTGCCATGGGCCCCCGTACCGCCTCCTCATGCTGCTGCCAGGTCCAGAGTCTCTCATGGGTCCCTGTACGGCCTCCCATTGCTGCTGTCTCCATCGCCACACTCTGCCATGTGCCACTTTCAGGTCTCCACACACTGCTGGTGGGTTCCATTTTGTCATAAGGTGCTGGCAGATTACGGGCCTCCCATTGCTGCTGCCAGGCCCGTAATCTGCCATGGGCCCCCGTACCGCCTCCTCATGCTGCTGCCAGGTCCAGAGTCTCTCATGGGTACCTGTACGGCCTCCCATTGCTGCTGTCTCCATCGCCACACTCTGCCATGTGCCACTTTCAGGTCTCCTCACACTGCTGGTGGGTTCCATTTTGTCATAGGGTGCTGGCAGATTACGGGCCTCCCATTGCTGCTGCCAGGCCCGTAATCTGCCATGGGCCCCCGTACCGCCTCCTCATGCTGCTGCCAGGTCCAGAGTCTCTCATGGGTCCCTGTACGGCCTCCCATTGCTGCTGTCTCCATCGCCACACTCTGCCATGTGCCACTTTCAGGTCTCCTCACACTGCTGGTGGGTTCCATTTTGTCATAGGGTGCTGGCAGATTACGGGCCTCCCATTGCTGCTGCCAGGCCCGTAATCTGCCATGGGCCCCCGTACCGCCTCCTCATGCTGCTGCCAGGTCCAGAGTCTCTCATGGGTCCCTGTACGGCCTCCCATTGCTGCTGTCTCCATCGCCACACTCTGCCATGTGCCACTTTCAGGTCTCCTCACACTGCTGGTGGGTTCCATTTTGTCATAGGGTGCTGGCAGATTACGGGCCTCCCATTGCTGCTGCCAGGCCCGTAATCTGTCATGGGCCCCTGTACCGCCTCCTCATGCTGCTGCCAGGCCCGTAATCTGTCATGGGTCCCTGTACGGCCTCCCATTGCTGCTGTCTCCATCGCCACACTCTGCCATGTGCCACTTTCAGGTCTCCTCACACTGCTGGTGTGTTCCATTTTGTCATAGGGTACTGGCAGATTACGGGCCTCCCATTGCTGCTGCCAGGCCCGTAATCTGTCATGGGCCCCCGTACCGCCTCCTCATGCTGCTGCCAGGTCCAGAGTCTCTCATGGGTCCCTGTACGGCCTCCCATTGCTGCTGTCTCCATCGCCACACTCTGCCATGTGCCACTTTCAGGTCTCCTCACACTGCTGGTGGGTTCCATTTTGTCATAGGGTGCTGTATGGCCTCCCATTGCTGCTGCCTCCACCGCCACACACTGTGGCTCCACACTCTTGTTTTGGCCCCGTGACTGCCCAAATGAGTGAAGTGTGCGGTGATTCTAAGATCGACGGCACTCATCTGCATGTCATACTGACTGACAGTATTATTTCTCTTCCCCAGCAGACTCCAAGGGCATTTAAATTAAGGGTACAGTGTTCTGCACTAATATAAAGGTTCTCTGAAGCCTAGAAACACCCTTTTTATAAGTTAAATTCGCAGCGAATATATTCGCATCGAATCGAATTTATTCCTCGAATTCGCCGAATCAGCCGAATCGAATTTTTGAATACTTCGCTCATCTCTACTTACCATGTCTGACCCTCAGGCTTCTCACTAGCCCACCATTCTCCCAGCAGCTCAGAAAAGGACTAAACCAGACCCGGAAAAGGCTTACCCATGCAGGCGGTCTCTCTGCTAACATCCTACCAAAGTTATGTTTCAAGAACATCAGAGAGAAAAAAGCAATTGGGTTAACCATACCTAAGCCACCTTTCTGCCTGGATAAGTAGGTCACATTCCTCTTAACAAGGTTCAGTCTGTTCCCCCACAACATCTGGAAGAAGCAGCTGTAGACCCTTGTATAGAGAGACTCTGGCAAGAGACAAACAAAGCTGACATACAAAAAAATGGGGATCAAGTAAGTCTTGATCAAATCGACCCTTTCCCTTAAAGAGAGCCGCCACCCCTTCCAGCATCTTACTTTGACCTCGGCATTGGTCAGCTTGGCCTCCCAATTAGATTTGCTGTAGTCATCTGGGCCGAATTCAATGCCTAGAATTTCGATCTTTTCCTGAGGCTCCTGGAAGGCGTTCAGAAGTGGAAAGCTCTCGCCCTCCCTACTCATCCAGAAAGCTTCACATTTGTCCTTGTTGACCTTGGAGCCTGATGCCTCAGAATACTGCTCTATCTCCGAGACCACTACCACACAGTCCCAGAGATAAAGACAGAAACGTCATCGGCATAAGCCACGATCCTCAAAGGCGGCTCTCCAGCGATGCCCACCGGCACCCCACTCAACGCTCCACCATCTAGCCTTCTGACAAAGGGTTCGATGGCAAAGATGTAGAGCAAGGGACTCGGAGGACACACCTGGCACACCCCAGAGCCGACCCCAAAGGGCCGCCCCCAACCCAACAACCCAATAAACCTCCCCTACCTGTCAAGAAGATGCCAGAGGTACTCGTGATCGACTCGATCAAAGGCCTTTGCCTGGTCCAATGCCAGCAAATACTTTCCACACTCATCAGCCCTGCACTGCTCCAGAGGCTCCCGGACAGCTAACACCTCTGTGAACGTGCTCTTGCCCTGGACCGAACAGTGCTGCTGGCCCGAAAGTAACTCGTCTGCCACCGACGACAAGCGCCAGAACAAGATCTTAGCCAAAATCTTATTATCGACATTGATAGAAAATGGGGCGCCAATTCCCAATCATCCAAGGATCCTTATCTTTTGACAGTAAAATCACAGCAGACTGTCTCATGGAGGGAGGGAACGAACCCTTTTCCAGAAAGCAGTTAAAGTCCTCCGTGAGATGAGGTGCCAAGCTGGACTTAAAGGTCTTAAAAAACTCTGCTGTCAAACCGTCTGGCCCTGGTGTCTTTTTAATGGCCAGACTATCTATGGCTTTGGCTACCTCTTCTGCCGTGATCCCATCTGTCAAACTTGCAAGCGAGATGTTCTTTTCCAGACCTGGCGTAGTATCCAGAAAGCTCATCATCCTTGCCCGGTTGAGGTGCCTTTTCCCCAAAAGTTCCTTATAAAAGAACCTCGAGACCTCCAAGATCTCTGACCTGGATTTGTCAGGGTTCCCGTACTATCCCTTAGGCCAGTGACCATCTTAATCGCTGCGCTTTGTTTGCAGTTCTGGTAAGGGTCAGGTGAATGGTACTTCCCATAATCCCTCTCCAGAACCAAAGAAGCGTGCCGGTCATACTGGTACTTTCTGAGGAGAGGCTTCACCTCCGAGATAGCCCCAGAATCTCCACCGCTAGAAACAAGGTGGTCAAGCTTCCTCCGCAGCCGCCGGTAGGCGATGTACCTGTCAAGCTGCTTTTTTTTTTTACCTATGGCCTTGAAAAACCTGCTGATCCGCACTTTAGTAAGCTCCCACCATTCCGACCTACTGTTGCAGAAATCCAGGATAGTTTCCTGAGCCTGAAAAAATTCCTCAACGGATCGTCTCACCTCATTGTCCAGCAGGGCCGAATTCATTCTCCAGATACCCCTCCCTTTCAATGGTGCATTTTTTTTCTTCTCTTCCTCATCATCTCACCCGACAATTCTTTCTATTACTATCGGTCTTTCTAACCTCTTGTCTTTACACCTGTTATTCCCCTGTATCATTTCTTTTCTACCAATCAAATAGAGCATTTACCTACACACAGATGTGACTAACTTCGACCATAGCACATACGCTACTTATAACTATGTAAACAATGACCGTCACAGTACCCAACGCTTCCCCTACCCTTATCTCTATCATCACACTGCTTTACCAATAAAAAGTTGATGAGAGTCAAGACGAGACAACATTCACTAACATCACTTTATCCATTTTCCTCTCGGCTTCCACCATTTTACTTGGTATGATGGCTGTACTGTGCTACATGTTTTTGTCTTGCACAACTGATTACAATTAGTCCCGTCTGCGAAACAAGAAGCAACTTGTCATGTCTATGTTTTGACTGTGATCTATGGCTGTACATGCTCTAAATGCTTTTGTCTTCTCTTAAAACAATAAAGTATTTTTTGGAAAAAAAAGGAAGGGCTTAATCTTTGTGAAGAGGCATTTCCTATCCCACTTAGACTGTGGGCCATAGATATTTATGAGCCTCAGCTCCTGCCCCCTCACAAGGACGTCTAGGACCAAACACTTCGATGACCTGCCGGCACGTTACCATACCGGTAAAAAGCAACGCAACTCCACTGTAAGGCTCAGCCGCAAGAGACCAATAAGAGGGACCGCACCTCCACTCCCTCTTTGCCAGATGAACATCAGCCAAGCAATTAAGCTGGGTCTCTTGCAAAAATAAAATGTCAGCACCAATACCACTGAGAAAAAATAAGGTTGTACTCCTAGCACAGATTTTAGTCTGGCAACATTAATGGTTGCCACCTTTATCAGAGCGGGAACTGCCATCAAGATAATCGAGGTGGACGTTTCTTAACCTTACTCTTCCCTGCCTCTGCAGGGAGCCTAGCCCTTTTGGGAGACCCCCCAGCCTCTTCATCCTCCATAGGAGAGACGGACTCCCCAGAGTCCACTTCATCCCCTGAGAGTACCCCAAACTTATTTTCTAATTCTATTTCATCCACCTCAAATGATGATAGAGAGGAGGTGGGAGACAACACTATCTTACTTTTACCTCCCTTCCCCACTAAAGACCACCCTTCCCCTCACCACCTTTGCCAGGCGTATCCTCACCTGGGCCAGAAACCACCTGCCCAACCTCCAACCCACCCCCAGAAACCGCAGAGCCCTTACGGCGATGCGGGAGTAAAACTGGAGGGGGGGGTCACCGAGGGCCTCTGGGACCCACCTGTCGCTTTACTACGCTTTTTGCGAACCGGGTGGACAGGCACACTAGGGGAGGCAGACGACACCTGGGGAGACACGGGGACTGGGGTGGACTTCACAACAGTAGGAGACACATCAGGGGGTACACTCGGCGCCGCTGGTGCAGGAGCACCAGGGACTGCTGGATCACTAGGACATGGATCTGCACCCTTCTCCTCTGCATCCATTCTCTCTAGTTCTTCTTCAATCCCGGGCAAGTTGTGTAATGCCTCGGGGCACTGACTGTAGGAGTGTCCCAGCTGCAGACAGAGGTTGCACGGAAAAAGACTACATTCACGTGCCACATACCCAATGCCCTGACACAAAGAGCACTTTAGCACTTCACATGTTGCTGCAAAATGCCCCTTACTGCCACACCTATGGCAAACCTTTGGTTGGCCTGCATAAAAAATGACCAATCGGTCCTTGCCAATAAAGGCTGATGTAGGGAGGTGTTTAATGACATTTCCCTCAATATGCCACCTAACAGTTGCCGACCATTCCCCCGTCCATATACCTCTGTCA